TGCTTGTCCCGGCAGTTCCTAGCAAAGCCAAAAGAACAGCTGCTATGGCAGTGATAGGTGTTCCATCACAGAGCTTGTGCCCCCTTGGAGGGAAGGGTATGCAGCCTGACGGACTGGCACTCCTGCTTTCATTTTCATCTTCACTGGAACCACAAGTTGATTATGTAATGTCTTAATGAGCAAAACGGGAGAGGAATGATGAGACGCTTGCTGTATGTGTGTGTGTGTGTGTGTGTGTGTGTGCTCTCCTCACCTTCAGCCAATGAACATCTTGAGCTGATCACGCATTTCACCCTTGCTCAAGTACTTGCACTTGAAAAGATACGAGAGAGAGAGAGAGAGAGAGAGAGAGAGAGAGAGAGAAAGAGTCAGGTGGAGTTGGTTTCTTTGCAACTAAATTTGATTCCTTATTACAGCATTTTTCTACTTTTTGCCTCACCTTCTACTGGCCTCAGAGGCCACATAGACACTGCAAAGTTTTGGGAGGAATAACAGCATGTAAATATAGGAGTGATTCCTCTTCATTATTGTTCTTTGTGTGGGTGGAATGCTATGAAAAACTGTATATCTACATATGCAACTTTATTTCTTGCAATATTAACATTGCAACAGCAATTTTTTTTTAAATCTCAAAATGTTTATTTATATCTCGCAATGTGACTTATCTTCTACTTGATTTCTCATAGTTGCAACTTTATTTCTAGTAATTGTGACTTTATATCTCAGCACTGTGACTTTTATTTCTAATTTCAAACTTTTTCTCACAAATACTTTTTTGTTTACTCTGAGGTGGAAACTGATCCCTGAGCCAGTTTGGAAACAAGAAATATATGAATGGCATCTAAATATCAATTTTGATGAAGGTAGTGTGTGAATGGTGCTATTTATATTGTCATGCACTGTGTCAGAGTGAACGACGGAGACATAGATTAGAATAAACAGTCTTTAATGAATCCACACAAGGGGCAATCCAAACCAGGAACGGGAGAAGACACACGTGCATCACACTGTTAGACCCAACAAAGACAGAACTGGAACACAGACTGGAACTTAAATACATGGGGTAATGAGGACAATTGGCAAGAATCACATGAAATCACATGCACCCAGGCCGCAGCCATAACAGCGACCCACGGTGGAGCCGGGAGGAGCCATGGTGGAGGAAGAGCTGACGACTCCAGGGGGCTGACCGACAGCGGCGGAGCAGGTGGTGGAGGAGCCCGAGGCAGAGACGGAGAGCCAATGAGCCAGGACGACGGGGAGGATCCGAAGGGCCAAGGCGGAGCAGATGGCTCAGGCGACCGAGGCAGAGGCGGGGGATCCGGAATGCCGCGGTGGAGCCAGAGCGACAGAGGGCCGAGAAGGAGCCGAAGGGAAGGAGGAGCCTGACAGAGCCGGAGGGACGAGGCACAGCCAGAGGAGGGGAGTCCCGAGGCGACGGATGGTCGACAACAGACCAAGACAGAGCCGGAGGGACGAGGGAGCCTGGCGGAGCCAGTGGACTGCCGGGCCACAGCGGAGAGGAGGGAGCTAGGAGCCATGGTGGCGCCGCTGGGTCGATGGGCCGAGGTGGAGTCTGGGACTCAGAGGCTGGAGGCGGCAGCAAGGGATCCTCCAGCCATTCAGACGATGGAGACTGGCAGATCCGCGGTACAAGCACCGAACAGATGGTGGGCTGAGTGTGAGCAGAGGGGCTGCCAGACGACAGCGGTGGAGGATGCAGGAGCATGAGGGTGGGTGGGCATTTCTGAGCCTCCGGGCTCTCAGGGCTGTAAACTTTCCCTGGGCCGATATTGGGAACGGAAGCCCTCTCTGTGTTGGACTCAGGGACAGGAGCTCTCTCTGGGCCTAATTCAGGAACAGGAGCCCTCTCTGGGCTAAACTCGGGAACTGAGGTTCTCCCTGGGTCATACGTGGGAACCGCAGCCCTCTTTGGGCTGGACGTGGAAACAGGAGCCCTCCCTGGGCTGGACATGGAAACAGGAGCCCTCTCTGGGCTGAACTCAGGAACAGAAGCCCTCTCTCGACTCTGGTCAGGGGCTGGAGCCATCACTTGACTCTGGTCAGGGTCTAGAGCCATCTCTCGACTCTGGTCAGGGGCTAGAGCCAACAGTCCTTTCCTCCTCATTCTCCTCTTTTGGACTGAGGTGAAGGAGATAGCTGCTGTCATCATAGGGCTTGGGAGTGATTCGGCCGGCGGGCCAGACTTGGGAATAGTAGCCCTCTCTGGGCTTGACGTGGGGACAGGACTGACAGAGGGCTCCGACGAAGGAGGGAGGAGAGGGGGCAGGTCAGCATATACATCCAAAACCTCTCCTTCTAAGTCCAGCAGTCCCAGATCCACATTATGCTCACCCTCAGCCATAGTGCAGGGGGCAGAGCTCCCCTCCGCGTTCTCGCTGTCCACGGCATTCTCCCTCGTGGCAGGTGATGTAGCCGGCTCTTGCACCTGGTCTGAGGTCATCAGCAGCTCCGGCTCCAGAGCAGCGATCCTCAGCTCTGTCGCTCCATGCACCGATGGCTCGTCAGTCGCGGCGGGCTTGGGCTCTCCGTCATCGGTGGGCTCTGGCTTTGGCTCTGTGCAGTGGGCTGATGGTGGGCTGGGCTCTGGGTCCGGAGTGGAATTGGTGAGATCATCCTTGGAACAGACGGTGAACGGAGATCCGTTTCTCGCCCGGATCCACTCACAAAGGTGGCAAAATCTGCTCGAGGGCCATCTTCGGATGACGGTGCACTGCATGCTGGGTTCAGCCTGTCGTCATAGAATGCGCAGAGCGCGTCGTCCGGGTAGCTGGTAAGAAGGAGGATTTCCAGAAACAATCTGGTATGGACCTCGAGCGATCTCTCCCCCTGCTCCAGCAGTAGGAGGAGATATCCTGGATGGGAGAAGGGGTTGAAGGGATCCATAGGAGACAAACGGGAGAAAAAAAAAAACACTGAACAAAACACGGAAACAAAATGGAGGGGAAACGCAGCTAAGTTTTACTTTTTGTCGGTCGGGTTTTCTGTCACGCAGTGTGTCGGAGTAAACGACAGAGACGTAGATTAGAATAAACAGTCTTTAATAAATCCACACAAGGGGCAATCCAAACCAGGAACGGGAGAAGACACATGTACATCACACTGTTTGACCCGACAAAGACAGAACGCACAGACTAGGACTTAAATACATGGGGTAATGACGACAATTGACAAGACACACCTGAATCACATGAAACCAATCAAACAAGGAAGAAACTGGGTCACGGAGCACATGGGGAGGGAAAACACACCAAAACAGGTCCATAATCCTGACATATATACGAAACGAAAGAAAACAAAATCAGGGCGTCACGAAGGAAGAAAAAAACAAAATTACAAATTATTCAAAACAAAATACCAAACAGAAAACAAACAAATAAACGAACGAACAAACAAACAAACAAACAAACAAACAAATATACACTAATATGCATTTTTTTGTTTGTTTTTGAAAGAAAAAAAGAATACCTTGACAAAACAAAATTACAAAAAAAAAATATAACAAAAAAGATTAAAAATTATAACGGTTTTCACAAAAAAATATTAAGCAGCACAACTGTTTAAACATTAATAATAATAAATAATAATTAAATGTTTCTTGAGCATGAAATCAGCAGCAATCATTAGAATGATTTCTGTAAGATCACAAATAAAAAACACTATTGTATATTTAATTTGTAATAATATTTCCCAATTGTACTGCTTTTGACCAAATAAATGTACAAATATATTGAAATTATATGTACTATTATATATTTTATTTAAATTATATTTATACTATACTATTTAGTATTATTTTTATATGGAGCATATAGATCTCAGAAGAGGAGTGACAACTGCAGTGTGTATATGGCCAGAGGGAGATAAAGAGCAGGCACGTGCACAGGTAGGGCTCAACCTGTGCAGAGCACATGCCCTTTTTTGTCCTTACACTCCGAAGTGCCCTTTTTTTTATTTATTTTTTTTTATTCAATAAATCAATGCTATTGGTCACCCTTTACGTCTGTCTGTCTGTTTTACAAATATATTTAGCGAATGAAAGGTATTAAAAAAAAGAGTTTGTGACTAAATCTTGTTGGATCCGCTCAAACTGTCAGTCAAAGCTCATAACTCCGCCCCCTGTCTTGACTGACTGAGTGCAGTGAACTGAAGTTCCACAGCAGAGCAGCAGAACGTCTTGCAAGGGTAAATAAATAACTTCTTGTAGCAAGGGGCCCAGTTGTAGTGACTACGCCACCCCGGACTACCGGGGAAAATAACCCAAATAAGGGCACGCAAATACGTTCCACATGAAAAGAGCAAGAGGCGTGAATCTCAGTACAAACAATCTTTTATTAAGGCTAAAAGAATTGGCTGATATTAATTTAAAACCCACAGCCGGCACACACCAATGTCATAGGTCAAAAAAAGAAAAACAGAAAACATCCAAATAATAATAATGCTGTAGAAAGCGGAGTCTTCCTATATAAGAAGCGGGTGAATGTAACAGCACCAGGTATGCAAAAGAGAAAATCACACCCACAAGATTCACTGCAAATAGTAACACAGCAATAGTGACACACACGAAAATGGCCACCCCGAGTGAAATAATATCCGTGGTGCTGTCAAAACCCGACCCGCTCCCGGAAGCACTCCACTCCTACAAACAAAAGAAAAAGAAAACATCACATTAAAAATAAACCACAAATTGAAGGTCCATATTCACAACAAACGAAACGAAAGAAAACAAAATCAACTTTTGAAAGAGGAGTCACGAAGGAAAAAAAAACAAAATTACAAATTACTCAAAACAAAATACCAAACAGAAAACAAACAAATAAACGAACAAACATCAAGCCCACTTGAATACTAGACATGGACGTAATTAAACTCCCAAAAGCAGCAGCGTGGCTCGAACAATGCAGAATAGGAAACGAGCTGTATTAATTACCACTTCCGCTCAACCTATACTATGTCCAAAACACACACACACAGCACAATTATAACTACAATAAAACATCCGAGGTTTTTTAGCTATTAGAGCGATTTACCTACCCGTTAATACGATGGTGTAATGCTCATGACAACAGATCTAAGGATCATACAACAACAACCTCTTTAAAGGCTCCCCTTTAAAAGGTGACAGCGACAACAGCTGGTGCTATGACCTGGGCTACGTTACACTGCGAGGCCACAATCAATGGGAGCCATGAAGGCACACCACACTGAAACACAAAAACTCATATTAAGCTGAACACAATTTCCCCCAGCTTCCCAAACGTCATTAACTTACCTGAGAGCCAACAACGCACCGCACCCAGTATATCTCAGCAGCCTAACAACACACTAAAGAGGTACAGATCGCACAAATCACTAAATAACACTCCAACCAGACAGTTAAGCTAAATGGCTAAAAACACCTACCTTGGAAGGCCACAACAGGAAGGAAGGGGCGGGCTTTCGACCATGACACACAGCAAGAGGCAGAACCAACCAACTTATATACCCTAACCGGGCGATCGCTCATTGGCCACATAATTAATAATGGTGACGTTTTAGCAACATCACTACATTGGGAGTCTGGCACAGGATCATTTGACAAAACCGAGCCAATAAAATTCCCAACCGAGCTGTGACTCTGCAGCACGGTGGGCACTAGTTTTCCGATTGCACAGAATTAGAGGCCTGCCGACCCCCCACAGTGGAATACGGAGTGCGCTGGGGAGCCCGCTCCCCATCACACTCTCTTGCAAAATGACCTGGCTTTTGACACCTTCCACAAATCACAAGACCACTGTGAGACACTCGACTACGCATATCTGAACCTTGCCATCGAGCAAAGTTTTGCGTAAGCAGATTTATTTGCTCTTACTGTGCTCTTAGTATTTCTTTTAACTCACCCAATTCAGACCGTGGGGGCAAACTACGAGCCCCCACCCACGAATCCCCCTGAACAGCATACTGAATGCCACGTGCTAAAGGGACGGATAAACTTCGGGCCCTAGCACCCCCTGGCATCCCCTCCTGCTCCCATCGAAGGGCCTCACTTCGCACATCTAACAATGTGGAATTTGGTTGTCGACGCACCAGCTGTTTAAGTTCCCATATCAATGTGCTGTCATTTACGTGTTCAACGAATTGGTCTCGAAGTACCGTTTCAGCATTTACCATAACATTCGATGACTGTTGCTTAACCCTCTCCAGGAGGCCCATCAAGGCGAGGGAAAACTCCAAAAGCGTTTCCCCCTCTTGCTGCTTCCGGGAAAAGAAAGCTTCCTGCAGAGCTACATGTGACAATGAACATCCATACAACTCACGCAGTGCTTTAATAACTTTCTCAGGATCTCCACGCACCTCATCTGACCTATATCGTATCTCTTCTCGCGCCTCTCCTTCCAAATTATCAAAGAGAAAGAAGGCCTGATCTGCAGGGGATAAATAACGAGCACGCATACATGCTCTAGCTTCTTCAACCCATTCATTTATACCAACCCCAGATTTTCCACTAAACTTTGGACACCTCCGATCTCTCGGCACGAATACAAACCTATCAGTTACTGACTAGTTTTCCGATGGCGCAGAATTAGAGGCCTGCAGACCCCCCACAGTGGCATACGGAGTGCGCTGGGGAGCCCGCTCCCCATCACACTCTCTTGCAAAATGACCTGGCTTTTGACACCTTCTACAAATTACAGGACCACTGCGAGGGACTCAACCACGCATGTCTGAACCTTGCCATTGAGCAAAGTTTTGCGTAAGCCGATTTATCTGCTCTTGCTGTGCTCTCAGCATTTCTTTTAACTCACCCAATTCAGACCGCTGGGGCGAACTACGAGCCCCCACCCACGAATCCCCCTGAACAACATACTGAATGCCACGTGCTAAAGGGACGGATAAACTTCGGGCCCTAGCACCCCCTGGCATCCCCTCCTGCTCCCATCGAAGGGCCTCACTTCGCACATCTAACAATGTGGAATTTGGTTGTCGACGCACCAGCTGTTTAAGTTCCCATCTCAATGTGCTGTCATTTACGTGTTCAACGAATTGGTCTCGAAATACCGTTTCAGCATTTACCATAACATTCGATGACTGTTGCTTAACCCTCTCCAGGAGGCCCATCAAGGCGAGGGAAAACTCCAAAAGCGTTTCCCCCTCTTGCTGCTTCCGGGAAAAGAAAGCTTCCTGCAGAGCTACATGTGACAATGAACATCCATACAACTCACGCAGTGCTTTAATAACTTTCTCAGGATCTCCACGCACCTCATCTAACCTATATCGTATCTCTTCTCGCGCCTCTCCTTCCAAATTATAAAAGAGAAAGAAGGCCTGATCTGCAGGGGATAAATAACGAGCACGCATACATGCTCTAGCTTCTTCAACCCATTTATTTATACCCACCCCAGATTTTCCACTAAACTTTGGACACCTCCGATCTCTCGGCACGAATACAAACCTATCAGTTACTGGGACACTAGTACTAGTCGATGGTGGAGGTATCGTTAATCCCACCATCGCAGGAGTACTAGGCCCATCAACACTAACCTCTCGTGAAGCCCTTTCCTGACGCAACTTCTCATTGTCCGCTCTAAGTTGAGCCACAAGCTCTTTAAGTTCCTGCAGTTCTCCATCCATTATAAAATATAAAAATGTATATATTTTTTTCCCTTTTTTTTTTTTTAAATACAAAAAATTAACCATTAAAAGGAGCCAAATCGAAAAACTGCAGTCTCCAAGGCACACGCTGCTGCTTTAGACCTAAAGAAAAAAAACAGAGAAAGAGAGGTAAGATGCACACAAAATCTTACAAAATACAGAATTTCACGCCTCCGCTGAATATTCTGTGGATAATCCTGCCGACTGCGCCACTTGTAGCAAGGGGCCCAGTTGTAGTGACTACGCCACCCCGGACTACCGGGGAAAATAACCCAAATAAGGGCACGCAAATACGTTCCACATGAAAAGAGCAGCACATGCCCCTCAAAAGGTCTGTGCACGGCCCTGATAAAGAGAGAGAGTGATTCTAAAAGAGCAAGATTCTGGCATCTTTTTTGGCACACAGAAAAGGTTAACCAAAGAGAACAAGACAGCAGTGAGAAAGAAAAGATGGTGTGAGGCCAGTGTCTAGACAAAAAAAAAACATAACTGAAAGTTAAACAAAGGCAAAAGACAAACCTGTTAGTGAGGTAATGCATCTGTGGAATTAGTTTTATCCTGTAAATGTCCATCTGGTCATAGACATTTTTCAGAAGCATCTTGCAGATATGGTCAACTAGAGATAAAACATACAGCAGATATAATTTCCTCAGCACAGCCCCCTCAAGAACACTTACACGCTCAGAAAGTTTTACTAATGTCATACTAACATTTAATGACTTCCCTTCAACCCGCCCAGGAGGGAAGGAGAAGAATGGAGTAGGGGAAAGAAAAAAAAAGGAAGAGGGAGAAACTCTGAAGGTCTTTAACAGACAGCGAGATGTCAGAGCTGTTGACAGTGTACTAACACAATGTGCTGAGGCTTATTGAAAAAAGAAAGAAAAAATTCTCCATAATAGAGAGAGAGGATGAACGACAGGCAAGTTTTATGCCCTGACCCTTATCCCATAATGCCAAGCACAGATGGACTTTGACAGAGGCAGACCTAAGGTTGTCATCCATTTCTTTGTGTCTCCAAAAGTCACCAAGGCAATAAATAAAGATTGACAGTCAGTCTTTGTAGTGATGCTTCAGGGTGACAAGACACAACATGTAAACACACAAACGCTCATACACACTGAGGCAAGTGCATAACTTGATGTTGAAAGTTTTTATTTTCTAGCGGAAACGTATTTCATTATGGTAACGAGCAAATGTTGTTTAATGGCTCAAGGTGTTTAATTGTCTTTGGATGATCATTAATTGATACTGAGAACCACAGTTAAAAGCTTGGTAAAGTTAGTTCTGCTGTCACTAGTAGATTTTATGCTAATTTGAAAGATCCCATCTAATCAAAACCAGTTTTACTACTTGTATTATGAATATTGCTTATAGCTTGTCATCTGAATCGTAATTTGATGCCAGCATTGCTAGCAGACAAGACAGTAAAATATTAATTTTATTTTATATTTTATTTATTTTATTTTATTATTAATACACTCTAAAAAATGCTGGGTTAAATATAACCCAACCGCTGGGTCAAAACAACCCAATAGCTGGGTTTCTCCCTTTTTAACCCAGCGCTGGGTTATATTTAACCCAGCATTTTTTAGAGCGTATGATGAAAGTTGTTTTTATTTTATTATATTTTATTTTATTGCTTTGTTATTTTGCTAAACACTATAACTATTACACTGTCTTGTCTGCCTTGCTGCAAGACAGTGGAATAATATATGTATTTCTTTTATTTTATTTTAAGGCTGTAAGGTTTGGGGTTCAGATGAGGTCTGCATTGTCATGCCCGCGGTTGTCTCGAGACTAGGAGGGTGCAACTCAAATCTTCATCGCTCCTGTGGAGACACTTTGCCATGAGGCATTTGTCAATACTGCTAAAGTCAACATGTCGCTCAAGACGTTTCTCACCAATGGTCCCGTCGGTCAACACTCCACACCAAAATAGACACACTCTCATCTGCAGCTCAAAAGGCTTATGAATGAGCACGCGCAACCGTCCCGGTGCCACACAGAATGCACATGCCTCAAGCTAACATCCCAGTTTTGGAAACAGTGGAAATCCTGTTGGCTACGGCTGGCAGAGCGATGGCAGAACAAAGAGCGAGGTGTAAGGAGATTTCTCCGTTTCTCTTTAATGTGCCTCACCGAATCTGAAAGCTCATTTCACTGGGGTCTGTAATTTCAGGAGGTTTCTGCTGAAACTGTCAGTTTTGGGGGTGTGTGTCACCTTAGGTGCACTGGAGAGAAATTCTCATCCTTCATAACACGTTGAAAAAAGAAGTATTGAGAATCGTTCATCATTTATTTCATATCGAGCAAAATTTCAGACCGTCCACACTGATGATTAAAATCTCTCTCTCTCTGAATTGCAGTGCTATTCAACTTGATTCCTGTGGGTCTGAGGATAGTGGCCATCCAGAGCACCAAGACAGGACTCTACATAGGCATGAACAGCGAGGGCTACCTCTACACATCAGTAAGTCTACAGCATAATCATCAATAGGTTACAAATCTTTCCAGACCTCTCCTAACACATCTTATCATGTTAAAGATGTCAGCGCTATGCAGTAGAGGCCAAATGTCTGAGTCCACCAGTGAAAAAGCTTTTATTCTGCAGATTTCTAAACCAAATACTGTTGAATTGAAAATTGTTTTAATGACAGCAGAATCAAATGTACAGCAATATTACATTTTCTCATATTTACTTTTTATTTATTATAAACTTACATGCTACCAGTCAAAAGTTTGGAATGAATGATTTTTGTTGTGTTTTTGTTTTGTTTCTGTTATGCTCACCAATGCTGCATTTATTTGATCAAAAATACAATACAAAAAAAATAATAGTGTAATATTATTACAAAATTGTATTTCAAAATAGTTTAACGTGTAGTTTTTTCCTGTGATGGCATAGTTTCAG